GCTGAACAACTGCAGCCAGCGCTCGCATGGACCCCATCATTGGCTGAAAGATGTGAAAACAATCAATCGGCATGCTTTAAGAACTATAGCTCCGATTACCTTAAGAGAGAATACTGACCTGACAGTAAAACCATAATCCTTGGATCGACAATCTCCCGAGTCGAAATTGGTGTTCCAGTTGCGCCACCATTGCCTGATAATCCTGGTCAAATAAAAGACCATAAAGTGTTCTAAATAAATAAAGAACAGTTGGTAGAGTACCTCAGTGCTTATGGAAGATTAAATCTAAACTCAACACTACAAATTGGACACTTGTGAAGCACAAAAATCCGGATGAGAGATGGAAAAAAGTCCAAACCCAGAGGAGATATGGCATGCTGACAGCAATTCATAGGACAAAACAACGAGGGTAAAGGTACCCAAGAGTCATATACCTAGGCCAAAAAGATTATAAAATACCCTAAATGTTGAGTACTCCAAGTTAGTACTTCCAATACACAACAGAGGAAAAGCCATGTCCAGACTGACAAAGAAGAGAAACTACTCTACAACAATGCACCATAATTACCACACCAGTAGCAACTCATGTCACATACAAGGAGAAGCGCCCTGAGAGCAGCAGCAAATGCATGATTAACTAGTCCCTTCTTGAACTGGGAGCCCAATTCCACAAACTGGTCAATTAGCAGAAAACTCTCGCACAAAGGGAATATCCGTTTCGCCAGTTCCTGCAAGATTATTTGCACCAGTCAAATACGACAGGAAAAAAATAACCAGGACAAGCCCAGCCAAAGTTAAATTTGTGTAGCATTTTCGTTCCTCATACAGGGAAGGAGAAACAATGGCATGACAGCATATAGAAATGCATTTATCCAATGACTTGGATTGCAGGTAGAAAATTAAACTTTTAAGTGGCCAATAAGCTAATGAAAAGTCATTTGGCTCCAAATAAGAATGACACTAACGACCACAAAAATATATTGAGAGCAGACACTGCTCATGCATTATGTGTTATTTCTCCAAAATGCCAATTATTTTGTACTTTAAACTAGTTCAGTTCACACAGGTGCTATACCAAATTGCTGCATAACAATGCTGAGCACGATTTAAAACATGCACAAAAATTACTGGTTTTGTTCAACTATTAGTGAACATCTCTCAAAATTGAAGACCATCTTCGCTAAAATGTTCAAAACAAGAACCAAGATCTTAGGGTGCTTGCCTGGAGTGCCAAATCCATTGATGGGTCAACTTGGAAAGTTATACTATCCTCCTTTCCATGGAATCGTTTTATTGATATGTATCTCCCTTCAATTCCAACCAACGCAGAAAGTAGATCATCAATGACAATAAGTTCCTGCATACCAAAAGGGCCAAAAAGTTAATTTGAGAGGAACCATAAACTGAATCATGGCTTTAGCTTCAAAGACACAAGAACAGAGTTCTTAAATGATATTAAAGTTTCGGCCTTAGGTTTCAGATTGTTCAAGGCTTCAAGCAATTAAAATGTGTATGTGCACCAAAAATTTCAGACTTCTAATAGCAATTTCAATGTCACAGTCGTCATGGAGAACAACTTCAGCAAATAAACAGCGTAAACAACTGGGCCTGCTTCAATTCGTCTCAATCAGACTAGTTGACGCTAATGACAATATGAAGCAATCTTTTAACGATTATTAAGCCAATTGGTGAATGAAACATACGACACACACCTAACATTTAATATTTTCACTACCAGTTTCAAGGTGACCGATAACAATATCACAGAATAAATAAAACAATATGATGTCTGATATTTGTAATGGTGGTAAGAAGCACAAACCTGAACAGCCGTGTCAAAACAACCAATAGCCTCGACTCCGCTACAACATACAAACATAAAGATAATCAATCTTTGAGAATGGTTTCCAAGAAAATATCTATGAAGCACAACATTTTAACCAACAAAATTTTCAAAAGTATGTTAAAATACCCAGAAGAGTCCGAGCGAAATCTTTTAGAATCAGCAAATCTGGAGCTTGCCCTGATTTCCTGAAATGAACCCAGTTGTTAGAATGATCCATTGTCTACAACCAACCAATCAGAATGTGAAAAGTAGATATGAGAGAGACGAATGCAGAAGAAAATAAATAGCTCTATTTTGCATAATTCTGGAGAATGCGAGAGAGAAAAAGGGGAAATTACTTGATGAAAGTGGCCGGTGAGGAACGGCCTCTCCTGGTTCCAACGAGGAGTTGAAGGGCATGAAATCGAATTGGCTGGTTCCATTGCCTTTCTCTAGTGAAAGCAACTGTGCAACTATTTCACCGAATATCTTCCTGCAAAGGAGAAAGACACTAACCATGTCCCGACTTCAATTTCAAATTGCCAAGCAACCGGCTTTTCTTTGTCACTCACGAAGGGTTTTGAAATCCGATGAGATAACGCGATTAAAACCCGGTCGAGAATTCCAAATCATAGTAGCATTTCCTAGAAACTATCAATGGAGGTGCAACCAGGCTCTCGGAGATCAAAACTGGAACTGATTTCAAAACCCTAGACAGAGGAAAGGAGTAGAGAAAAACAAAATAGAAGACAATCTCAGAGAAATGGAGAAAGCTAACCAACGGGTCTTCTCTCCCGGCGGCGACCGAGATTTCCGGTGAAACTGAACTTGAATCGGAAACTGTACGATTCTCCGGCCAAATCCAGGAGTGGTGCTCCGCCGCAAATTCAAGTTTGTTCCTTTTTTTCCAAAGTTACTAGCTTTTTTCCCATGACACTTCAGTAATCAGCATGTACTTACTTATTGCGGACTGTAAATTTTTAAAAAAAAAACATCATATAAAAAAAAGGCGGAAACCCAAATTGGATTTCTTTCCGCCGGAGAAATCATAAAAAAAATGAAGAAAGAGAAAAGGAAAAAAAAAAAAAAGCTCATCCCCATCCTCATGATTATCTTTCCTTTTTTCCTTCCCACTAATATTGTTTATTAACGAAAAAAAAAAGAGAAAAACAAAATGAAACGCCCACCACCCTTCCCGTGAGGAATAACGATAGCCGCAGCAGAGCAAAACCCATTCGAGTTCGAATTCCTTTGCCGTGGAATAAGTCCTGAATCTCCAGGTCCTTTCATCTTCTGTACCTAAAAGTTTCAATCTTTTTTTTGTTCTTTTCGTTTTGGGCTCTCTTTGGATTCTTTCAACTCCTGGTTTGATCGTTCGAGGATTTTGTCTCGTCCCCGTTCTTATTTCATGGGTTCAATCAATCTTCTTGAAGCTTTTCTGCTGATATATGAACATGGGATTTTCATCTTGAATCCGTCAAACTTCGTCTTGGGTTTGCCCGCCTGATATAATTGTTGTGAATCGCGGACAATTCGAGAGAAAAGTACATCCTTTTATCGGTATTTTTAATTCTGCATTAGGTGGGAGACAAAAAAAAATGGCTTTGGCCGGGAAATCCGAGAAATTTTCTGCGGATTTCGTAATGGGAGGTGCTGCAGCCATTGTGGCAAAAACGGCAGCTGCACCGATTGAAAGAGTGAAACTCCTGCTTCAAAACCAGGGGGAGATGATCAAGACAGGACACCTCAAGAGACCTTACACCGGTCTCGGTGATTGCTTTGTCAGAATCTTCAGAGAGGAAGGCGTTTTGTCCTTTTGGAGGGGAAATCAGGCAAACATCATTCGATATTTCCCAACTCAGGTACATTCACGAGCCCTTCCTTGTTCTTCTCTGGATCTTATTAGGCGCCTGGCAATTTGATGCTGTTGTAGCATATGTTGTGTGCTTGACTGCATTTGATTGGTTGAAGAAATGTTCACTCAATCCAAATGGGATGGCTCTGTTAAAAAATCACGAGACTTGACTTGACTTAACTCCATATGTACAAGTAGATACGTACATGTGAACATGGAATACTCCTTTTTATTTTCTGTTCTACTCCTTATGCTTTTTTCTTTTCCATCTTCTATTGATTACGTATGTTTTCGTCTGCACACGAATGCCCTCCCTGTTAGTTTTACTAAATTTAATTGCTCTTAGGCTTTCAACTTTGCGTTTAAAGGTTACTTCAAGAACCTTTTTGGATGTTCAAAAGAGAAAGATGGTTACTTGAAGTGGTTTGCCGGTAATGTGGCTTCTGGAAGTGCTGCTGGAGCAACTACTTCTTTGTTCCTGTATCATCTGGATTATGCACGGACCCGGTTGGGAACTGATGCAAGGGAATGTTCTGGTAATGGCCAGAGACAGTTTAAGGGGTTATTAGACGTGTACCGTAAAACCTTATCGAGTGATGGCATAAGAGGCCTTTATCGTGGGTTCAGTGTGTCCATAATGGGGATAACTCTGTACCGAGGCATGTACTTCGGGATGTATGACACCTTGAAGCCCATTGTTTTAGTGGGTTCCTTTGAGGTATACTCTTTATATCATGTCATATGGTCATTACAGTAGATAATCTAGAGAGTGAGTTCTAGTTATGAGATAAGTTAGTTTCTTCCAACAGGTGAAATAACTTGGTAAAGTGCAGCAATTGGGTACTTTGCTGAAGAAATGAGTTGGACTTTGTAACTAATGTCCTGTTTATTTGACAGGGAAACTTCTTGGCAAGCTTTCTGTTGGGTTGGAGTATTACTACCTCTGCGGGCTTCACAGCTTACCCCTTTGACACTCTCAGGAGGAGAATGATGCTTACCTCCGGACAGCCTGTAAAATACCGGAATGCCATCCATGCCTTCACTGAGATAGTACAATTCGAAGGCTTTCGTGTACTTTTTAGAGGGGTTACTGCAAATATGCTTCTTGGGGTTGCAGGGGCCGGGGTGCTTGCAGGGTATGATCAGCTGAACCGAATTGCATATCGACATGGGTTTCATAGTTATGAGCAAAGTCCAAAGGGGTTGAAATGAAGACCCGCGGGTCATTCACAAAATTCCTCCGCAAGCTGTGATGAACTAGCAGGGGGAAAAGTATGGCTTGCGTCAAAGCAGCAGAACAACCAGGCAAAAATTGTTGATAGTACTGTATTTGTTTCCTTTACCGTTGGTGGATTTGGGAATTGTACATTCTTCTTTAGCAATACATTGTTAATTTGGCAATGGAATGAATAAATTCAATTATGTCATATCCATCTTGAAAAGATGAGCTCTTACGGTTACTGGTAACTTCAATATGCATATGATTATACTGTTTCTCAAATATGAACTCTGCAAGAGAATACATGATGGTTTCTCCAGTGTTTCTTGATGATACAACATGATAATTCCAGTAGCTCGTTTCATAGTTTCTTCTTCAAAAAAAGATCTCTTCCAACACGATGTAACATACAAAAAAACGAAACGTTTTGTTTGTTTTTTTCTCCGAGGCTAATATCTTCTGCAGCAGCGTCAGGCAAGAAGCCAGAAGTTGTTGTGACGTTTAGTGGTGATCAAGTAGCCACCAAGCTTACGGCTTTTGCGTTTGACGGCTATGGTCATGCAGTTTGCATTCTGAAGACAGTACTCTACCAGACCTCCATGGCGTCTCCTCCATGCCCATCTCTTGAACAGCCTCCACACCGACGGCTTCTTCTCTTGCCCTACCACCAGTAGACTCACTTTCTCCTTATTCGCTTCTTCCACTATCTTTGGTCCTTTCTGTTTCTCCTTCCCCTCCATTCTTCTTATCTCCACTTCTATCTGCGTTTACCCATACATGCAAACATAAGTACGGATATGAAAAGGAACCATCATATGACCCGTTTTGTTCAGATCTTACTACTAACTTACCCCCGGTCGCTTTGTCTGGCACAAGTTTTTCAGGGAATGGACAAGTTTATCGACCTTCATATCTCTCTTTCTGTGCTTCTTCTTGCCTAAAAGCAATGGAAACACATAGTAGAAACATGACCCACCCAAAAATCACATTCAAAAGAGAGGCTTGGAAACAATGATGAGAAAAAAGTTTTTTTTTTTTAAAAAGCCAACCTTTCCTTGAGGGTCTTGAGAAATACAAGAGGAAAAGAGTGTCTTGCGACTGGAGAGTGTGAGTAAGAGCCCATTCAAGAGCTCCCATGGGGGCAAGCCCTCTATCCACCACCACCATTACTCTATTCCCGGCACTTGCCTCCGCCTCTTCGCTTCCGCTCTCTCCTCCGCTCGTAAAGCTGTTTCCTTCTTCCTCTTCTTCGTATTCTTCATGTAGGTTATCGCCTTCTCCGCCTCCTCCTCCGCTTAGAAACTCGATTCTCTGATCCCTCTCTATGGAGCTCGAGTCGGGTTTGAACCTGATCGATGGTGACTGAACCCTCACCCGTCTGAAGCTCAACTTGGCCGATTTCTTGACCGATCTTGCCATTCCTCCTTATGAGTTTTTTTGGTGTCTGAAACTTGATCTTTGTACACATTACATGTTCTTGCATTGCTTATTATACGTGTAGAGGGGGTTCCCTGATACAGGTCGTCCACATGAAGAGGACGTGCATACCATGAAGGCTTTTTTGGTCTCAAAGGAAGGAAGGAAGGGGAGATGAGTTGTCCGAATCTTTCTGTTGATTAGCTGTTTGGTCTGTTCTGTTGTATGTTCATTTCTTTAATGTTTTCCACACGTTGCTTGGGCCTTTTGTCATCTCTCCAATGTTTTCGTTTATAGAACCCTCGTGCAGATTGTGGTGTTATTCTCATATGCGCCCACACATGGAGACCTTATCCATATTTTCAGTTTTGCATTAACCTAAATTAGCTTCCGTTTGTTTCATGTTTGAATTGCACAAATCAAATCCAAATTTGCTTAACCTGCCATGTGCCAAATCAGCAAATCACCAACTCCGGAAAGGCAAAAAGTCGAAAATATCACCTCCGACTAGGGATAAACTCGTCATGATCCTATGTATTTATACGCGGTCCATGACGTTACCGTCCCAAGAAGACAAACAATGGCGGGTGCTTCAGATTCCGCGGCCGCGGC